TTAATTTAATATTGCCAGAGGTCTTCAAAGTTAGGAATTCTTATTTCATTTCCTTTTAATTTAATATTGCCAGAGGTCTTCAAAGTTAGGAATTCTTATTTCCTTTTAAATTAATATTGCCAGAGTAGCTCCAGAGGTAGCTAGCTAAGGATTCCTTATTTAATTATCAACTGATTGATTTTCATATACATTATTTTGGAGGCCTTGGTTGTTGAGGGGGGGGGGTTTATAAATCAAGGGACTACATTATCTATTTTTTTTGTTTCTCGACTTTCTCTAGCTTTTTGACAGGAAGGCGATGGGATCTGGCCGGGCTGAGAGCTATGCATCTGGCTGGCAATGATTTTTTGTTTGGCAAATTCTGATTTTTGGAACGTGTTGCGAAAGCTTGTGTTTCTTCGTGGGTGTTGACAAAGTTGCACCTGCGGTAGGTTTTCAATGAAGATGACCCGGCCCTTTTGCTGCGGCAGATTCCAGCACAACTGGTGAAAGCGACGGATGATGGCCTTCGGCATGTGTCGATGCATGTGGCGGTGAAGCGTCAATACGTCCGCGACTTTGATGCTGACAGTGCGATTAGCCACAGCGACTGTTTCCCAGAGACTTTGGCCCTCACGTGCAAGTCAGCGAGAAAGAATGAGTTTGAGCCGTGCTTCAAATCTGTTTTGAAGCAAGAGGTCTTGCTTCACGTCAATGGTTGCGATGTTGACCTGGTTCTTCTTGGGGCCAATTTGGACACTCATGACGATGCCAAGCTAGGCCAAGTGGAGGCATTAGAGCGGATGCTACAGGTTTCGCAGCGTGGGAGTGCCAAGTTTTGTGCCCTAATGTGGGGAGACTTCAACAATCGCTTGGTGGCTTCTGATGATTTGAAAGCAGGCGTCAAAGAGACCAAAAAAGGTTTCGAGATTCTAGATGTTGGCGCTGAGTATTTAGTTGATTGCATCTTGGACGGATCGCGGCGTTCTGAGCTCCTCCAGAAGGATGCGCTGACCTATTGCGGCTTGGACCTGACAGGTCGGCCGTTTCGTGCCCCTCGGTGCAATCGTCGACTCCTGGAGCTTTTTGAGACGGGCATCGAAGCGGCGAAAGAAGCGGACGCCTTGGAGTTGCCGTTGCCCAGCTACAAGTATATGCCTTTGGAAACAATCCTCTCACAGAGCCTCCAGCACCAGATACGCTTGCTGGAAGTCGTGTGCTTGGATTCTTTGCAGCCCGTCGACTGGAGCCAGTTTCTCTCCGCTGAGATGACCTATTTTAGTGATTCGGCAAGATATGTGCATAGAGATTCCAATGGCAATTTGCTCTTACCACTGGGCTGGCCAGATGGCGTTGGCGTGTGGAAGGCCAACACCGTGGCAGCTAGCATCCAGCAATGGCAGAGTGAGTGGAACTTGCGATCCTTTGATCACTTGCCGATGCGTTCCTTGCTCTCGCTGAAGCTTGGAAGCGAAAGAACCGAAAGGGAACGCAAAGAACTGAAAGTTTGGCTTGGCTTTGTCAAACTTTATGGAAAGAAACCCACACTGGAGGCACTTACGGAGCTGCTCTATCGGGATGACACATGCTCAGCCGTGGACTGCGATGTTATTGCGCTGCACCTTGCAAGTGCCTTCGTCACACCAGAATGCATCTCTGATTTCCAGAGTGTGCTCAAGAAATGCATGGCATTGCGGGACGCATTGAACACCAAAGACTATGTGTTCAATGAGGATGATCCAGCGCTGCCTTCAAGCCAGATTCCCGCAGAGGTGGTGAATCGAACAGAGGATGGAATGACGTTCGTCTCCATGCATGTTGCAGTCAAGCGGAAGCACATTCGCAAAGTTGATGGAAGCGATTTCATCAAGTATCATGACTGCTTTCCTGGCCCGACCTCCGTAGTGGGCAAGTCAGGTTTCGAGAACGAGCGCAGCGAGTACAGAGTGAACGCAACGAGCACGGATCATCCCAGGCTCGTCTTGAGACAAGACGTCCTTCTGTGGGTTGATGGTCGCGAAGTGGATGTGGTTCTTCTTGGAGCTGACCTGGACACCAATGTTGCGGCACGGCTCGTTCAAGTGAACGCTTTAGAGCGGCTGTTGAGGATGGCCAGCCGAGATCGCACAAACTTTTGTGCCTTGTGCTGGGGTGATTTCGCCAATCCACTGGTTGCCTTCGAAGGCATGAAGGAGTTTTGGCTGCTTTCAGATCAGACTCCTTTTTAACTTTGCTGCATCGATCCATAGTGAAGCACCATAGTACATTTTATGCTTCCATCAGCTCGTGCACACCTGAGGATCATGTTGTTTTCAAAGAGGGCAAGTTTGCGATCCCAGACTCAGGAGTCAGGTTTCTGCTAAATTGCTTACGAGAACCGTCTGAACGATTGGCATTGCTGCACAAAGACTCTCTGACCTATTCCGGGGCAGACGTGACAGGGAAACCTCACCAAGCCCCACCATGCAACATCAAGCTCAGGCAAATGCCGCTTAGCAATGGAGCTCCCAACCTTTGTGAGAGTTTCTTTTGGCGCTTTGGCCTTTCCTTGGCTGTCGGTGATGCACTGAGGTTTTCCTTATCGTTGGATGCAGCGTTGGCCTCCGGAGTGGTACCCTGGCCCTTCTACCAGGTCCAGCCTTTCGAGGCTCGACCCGATGTTCTTGGCTTCGAAGCAGAGCCAAGCGAAACCGAAGCGAAACCGAGAGCCACCAGCGCAGGTGACGCTCGCCCAGCAGCTGGGTTGTCGGCTGAAACTGGTGGAGATGGCTTCGCTGAGCCGCATCAGAGCACTGAGCCCTTTGATCCTCAGCGCATGCAGAGTTCCCAACACAAGTCAAGGAAAGGCAAATGTGTTTCGGCTGCTTTTGACTAAGGACTTGGCCTCACTCCTCAAGCACTTTGGAACGTGAAGGTCTGCTGTCTGCATACTTTAATTGGACGGAAGACGGCAAGAAGATGCAGCGGAAGATTCGAGTGGAACATGTTGAGAATGACCGGAAGGACAACTACTATTTGCAGCGGCTTGTTTGCACGTGCTTGTTTGAAGCCGATGTTGTTTCGTTTCTCTATCAGCTGATGAGGCCTATGCTATGGTGACCCTCAATTAGGTAGCATATAAAGGGAATCTCGTTGGGCGATGTATTGGCGGCTTCTGCCATGGTCTGCCATGTTAATCCACCAGACCTTTTTCCGGTTCTCATCAAAGACTTCCAGTTTGTGGCCTTGAGGTTTGGCTGGTTGGATGGCGTCGCGTGGTACAAAAAGAACTCGGTGAAGACGACCCTTTGTTGCTGGGAGACAGTGCAGAGTGTGCAGGCCTTCGACCACTTGCCCATGAGGGCCAAAATGCAGGCCAATCCTTTTTTGGAAATTGGGATTGAAAACGATTGAAAAGGGTTGTGGATGTTTTGGGGGCATCAAGGTGGGAAGGATGGCGTTCATGAGAGGAAGGAAAACTTCTCCCTTGTGCAAGGTCATGCTTTGAGGCAGCAAGCTGAGCTGCATTTAAAGCCGGCTCTTGCCTGATAGAGCATGAGAGAGCCAGTTTGGCTGTGAGAAAGCTGCTTGTAGACTTGGAGACTGGCTCATCTTCTTTCTCATTTGGAATTCATAATTTTCAAACACTCCTTTTTCTTATATAACTGGTTTAAGCAGCTTCCGCAATTCGGTCTCCCAATTTGGTTTGGACTTGATGGACCGGTTTCATGGTTCAGGTGTTGCCCAAAGGCTGTCAACAAGACATCCAAATGTTTCAAACCAACATGCTGAAAGGACCGCATTATTTGAACTTAGGATCCTCCTATATAACTCAGTTCAGCATCTTTCTTTCTGATTTCACTTGCATCCTCTTCCTACATCGAAATTTGTACCTTGCCCTCAGGTCTTGGAAGTCTCTGCTGCTCTTTGCAACCTTTTCATGTGTGACCTCGTCCGTGGCCTGCGCCCCACAGCTTTTGCGCCGGCCGAGCTAAGAGCCGTTCTTCGGTTGGAGCTGTTGGAAGTCTAGCTCAGGTCGTCCTAGCGTGGGAGGTGGTGGAGGTGGTCAAACACAGACAAATTACTTTGGGTGTTCGACTTGAACTGGAATCGTAGCCTTTGTCGCAGAAGATTGAAGATTGTACGACAGGCCTTAGCCTTCCCCTCTTCCTTAGTCACAAGAATCTATGTTCGCGGAGGTCTTTCGGACAGCCGATGAGAAGGACTTCTTCGCGGGCACCCGCGGGCTGTGTCCTTAGAGTTTGATGGTCAGAATGGCCACACAATCGCAGAGAGAGAGAGAGAGAACTCTTATATATATACCTGAGTTTATCTCTTACCCATAGCTTGACTCAGATGAAAGCCCCCACTCATCTGATGCTTGGCTGAGGTGTAGTGGATTAGTCGTGGCGCTTTCCGTGGGACTTCGGCATGCCATTGTCTCGGTTTGTTCGATACAACCGCATCACAGTCTGAATCGGAAGGCGTCCTTCACCACAGGATTGCATTTTGCACAAGGTATGTGCATGTGGGAGGTGAAAGGAACCCATCTGTCTTTTGTGCCGAACGCTTTGCATTGAAAGTGCCATGACAGTTGAGACTTCAAACCAGGCTTATCCACTGGAGGCCTTGGACATTTGAAAGTAAAGTGCGAGCCAACTCGTTTTTTTTAAAACATTTTTCTGGTGTGTTCCAGTGCTTTCCAACTTTTGCTTGGCGCCTGATGCTGTGCTCAAATTAATCAGGCTTGACATGACTTCTGCCGACTCAAATTGAAGGCTGAAACACTTGCATGGCACAAGCTTGAGAACAAACATGCAGAGGCAACAATTTTGGGAACTCCGACAATACCATGCGCCTAATATGGCTTCCTCACATATTCGACCTTTGCTGCAGGTTTGGTTGTTATGATATGGCCGGGGGTATGGTGCCAAAGCGATGTGCCCCAAAAGTGTGGACATACTAGGCGTTCCCACGGTAGCATATAGTTAAGGCTGGGTTCCATCGAGGAACGCTCATGCCTTGAGATTTGGCCGCAAGAGCCACAAAGAACTCGTGGCCTCTCTGATTTGAGAGACTTCATGCGAGCGTGGGGCGAGAGTGTGGAGGACCCACAACCAGAGCTTGTGACTCCTCACTTGAAGGAGCAGGTGTGTGGTTGAAAGTTCAACACCTTCAGGGTAGAACCGTTTTCAGAATGAATGTTTTGCCAAATTTTAGCTTGCCAGATGTGAGGGTTCTCAAAATACTGACATGCTTTCAGGAGTCCAGAGTGAAGGACAACGCCCAGTGGAAGAATGAGTGGTGGGACTCATGGAACTTGAGCCGCCAGGAGGGCTGGGTAGGCAGACTATGGGACTGGGAAGGCAAGGGGTGGCAAGGCAAGACATGGGAAAACCGATGGGAAGACGAGCCATGTGAAGGCGAGCTGTGGGAAGACAAGAAATGGCAGGGCAAGCGCTGGGAAGATAACACATGGGAAGACAAGGGGTGGCAAGGCAAGCCATGGAAAGGCCAATGGGAAGACGA